AACTGCAGATAACAGTCAGCTGAAGTGGCCTGCAGTACTGCACCCTAACCACTGCGCCACCTCGGCTCTCTTGGTGGTCCTCTCTGTGGGCATGCGCACCATCGCCAGCTGATCTTCACAGCTCCGGAGCACCGGAAGATGGGCTGAAACTGGCCAAAAATCCACCCCCAAAATAGGCTGTTTCCAGGCCGTTTCCAGGCTGTTTCTTGGGCCATTTTGTGGGCCATATTTTGGGCTGTTTTCAGGCTATTTTTCATACAAAATGGCCTGAAAAACAGCCTGAAACTGGCCTGAAAACAGCCCGAAAAATGGCTTCAAAATGGCCCCAAAACAGGCAGGCACATGTTGGCCAGCTGATCTTCGGGTTTCTGGTGCTCCGGCCCATGCACGCACATTCTGGTTTGGGCCCTCGGTGCTGAAAAGGTTCACCATCACTGCCTCATTCCATTAGAGACAAACGGTTGTCCAATCTCTTCTTAAAAACCTGCAGTGTTGGAGGACCCACAACTTCTGGAGGCAAATCCTTCTACTGGTTATTTATTTAAAAGAACAATTGTTCATTGAAAGCAAGGGAGTCTAACCTTGGGAACTTTAAACCTGTGGACTTCAACTCCCAGAATTCCCCAGCCAGCCAAGCTTAGCTGGGGAATTCTGGGACTTGAAGTCCACCAGTCTTAAAGTTGCCCAGGTTGGACACCCCTGGATTAAAGCATCCCAAAGGGTGATAATGCTCTGGGATTCATAGAATCCCACTGGCTCCATTTGCAGCACATGCGCAAATGGAACCAAAACTCAAAAAGATTCTTTCCCTGGTTTTCAGTGAACGTATATCCAACTCTGGAAGCCATTCACGCCTTACGATGGGACGTGCATTCTGACGCTCACCCAAACACAGACACAACAGGATGTTTAGGCCAGTGTGGCTGGCTGGACACCAGACCGTCTCCTCTGAAACATCAACGGGATGGAAGCAGTGAGTCAGAAAACTTGCCTGCAGCTGTTGGCTCTTCGATGAGATCTGCTAATCTTGGAAAGCTAAGCAACCCATAAAGATCACATTGCAAGGAGAAGGAAGGAGACATGAGGGATTTGGGGGTGGGGGGGGGACACCAGGTTGGAGAAGGCTGGTCCAATTTTTCCCCAGCCACTCTGGAGGTAATAAAGTCTGAGAAGGTATGTGACCGAGTGTTGAAGGACAGTTACCGGAGTGTTAATGCAGATGGAATTTGCCACGCAGTTGCTGGCTGTCCCTTCCACGCATTCGTTGACATCATTACAGATCTGTTTGGCAAAAGAAACACACAGGGATCAGGAGGAAGGGCTGGATGGGAACATCGTACAGGCAGTCCTCGACTTACAACCATTCATTGAAAGTTATAACAGCACAGATAAAGAATAAAGAGACCATGAATGTAAGATAGAAAGGTATAGAAAGGGAAAACACTAACTGNCACTCCAGGGAAAGGATACTGCAAAATCCCCATTCCCTCCCCACTCTAGGGGAAGGATACTGTAAAAGCTCCATTCCCACCCCACTCCGGGGCCAGCCAGAGGTGGTATTCGCCGGTTCTCCGAACTACTCAAAATTTCTGCTACTGGTTCTCCAGAACCTGACAGAACTTGCTGAATTTCACCCCTGGTTAAACCAATGTTTCTCAACCTTGGCATGTTGAAGATGCGTGGACTTCAGCTCCCAGAATTCTGGCTGGGGGATTCTGGGAGCTGAAATCCATCCAACTTCAAGCTGTCAAGGTTGAGAAACACTGGGTTAGACATACCTAGTTATCTCAATCGTTATCATACTATATAGCCTCCAGATACTTTATCATCATCGTTACTCTTCTCTGGACTCTTTCTAGGGTCTCAGCCTCTTATTTTGATCCCCACCATAGCAGGAGAAATGGATGAAACCAGAAGTCTTTCAATCCATGGGCTGAGGACCCTAACTCAAAAGAAGGTCTCTTACCTTCTGACATTTTTCATCATTGCAACGAAGCTTCTCGTCTGGAAACCCATCAATGTCAGTATCCCTTCCACACATGTGGCCGTTTCCTGCCCATCCGACGATGCACTAGAAGCAGAAGGAATTGTGAATGCCCATCCTTCCCACCGTCTCCCAAGAGAAATACCAAAAAAGAAATTGGCTCTAAATTGTGACAGACTCAGATATGGGAAAGTCCTGCTAGGGAAGTGGGGGACCAAATTCAAATTATTCTTACTATCACCATCACGTGGGAACAAGGACTCAATCAAGCCCTGAATTACCAAGAAAAGAGAATATTTGTAGTTCAGGATTGAACTGTGCAGTCCTTGATGATCTCTGAGCTTGGTTATTTTCATCCAGGTAACCTTGGATTTCATTACTCAATAGGTAACATGTAGCACTGGTGATGTTACCTGGTTGGGTAATGAAACATCTGCAAGAAAACAACCAAGCTCAGAAAGCAGAAGCAGTATGCTCCATCTCACATTTGGGTAGACCAGGTTGCCCTGATAGACCGGAAAAACACTTAATCTCCCTCCTGGTACAGCTGACAAAGCAAGGAGAACCCGTGACCTAGAGGTTAATACATCTGCTCTACAGATGGATTCTGGCTGGATTTTGACATCTTCTGCACTGAAAGGGACTCTGTACTGCAGAGACAAAGTATGCTCCAGGGTTGACTAGGCTCTGAGTAAACAAACCCAGGCCTTCCCACCATTCACAACTGAGAAACGACAACATCTGTTCCCCAAATCTTAGGACTATTTGAGAAGTCGGTGAGGAACCAGAGAAAACCTCCAACTCACCTGGCAGATGAGAGTCCCGTCCCGCTCGACAATGCACTCTGCTTTCTCATGACAAGGACTTGGTTGACCATTGGGGCAACGTCGCTTGGTCTGGATGCGGCAGCCAGAACGCTGATCCCCTTCAAAGCCACTCTTGCATGGCCCACATTTAAAGGAGCCCTGCAGGATGAAATAGGGGAGTCAATCATCTGTATTATGTCTTCGTCTCCTCCCCCCACAACAGAAGGGTGAAACCAGCCCATTTACTCTTGTGAAACCTTCTCTCCACCTTCATTTCATTTCATTTCATTTATTAAAATTTATAGGCCGCCCTTTTCCCTGANATATATGATGGAACTTCTTGTTCCTATGTTGTCTTAAGTCATGTGTTTGTTTTTGTTGATGTGTTTATGTGTGTAAAATAAAAACTTTTAAAAAATATCACTTTTCAACTTGAACGGCACATACAACTGTTGTATTTGAATTACTCAGCAGGAATGCTGGTTGTATAAAGTAAGCATTTGCATCCATTATTTATTTGTTTTTTTGTTTATGGCAGGTTAAACGAAACGTGTATGACCTGACTAGTATCCCTGTTCGTCATCAATATTGGGAAGGCTGGCCTGCTTCTGCTACAGATGACTCAGTAAGTCATAATTATCATAAATGCTATAGTGTTTTTTCCCCTAACCCATTTTGTAGTTTTCTGTTGGAAATATTTATTACATTTCAAAAATATTTCTATGCAAATATGTTTTGTAATTTACTACGATGTTTTTGTGTCAAGTTTGATTCCAGTTGATTTCATACCTATCTACTTTTATTCACACCTATGTACTTTTAAGAATATTGAAGCAGTTTGCCATTAACTTCTTCCAGATCTTTTCTTTCTTGTGGCATTTCCTGGTGGTCTTTTATCTAATTACTAAATATCCTGCTCTGTTTAGCTTTTTATGATCAGCCAAGAATGGCCAGATGATCTAATTCACAGGTGTCAAACTTGCGCTGTCATGTTGCCGTCACGTGACATATTGTGGTATTTTTCCCTTCACAGAGCTGGAGTGGGCGTGGCCTGAATGTGATATATTTGGCCCGCAGGCCGTCACTCATGCTGTAATTTATCTGACTAGTAGTACATTAAATCAACTGAACCATTAATTTATGGCTTTTAAATTAGGAGAAAATTCTTAATACAGATTTTTATAGTAAAAAAAACAGTTTATATGTGATATACAAGTCCTTGAAGACATGGTTTTGTCAGGAGGTTAGGGGATTCCATTTGGAGCTGATCAAATGGCTTGTCTTCTTCTGTTGCCACTGGAGGGGCTGAGATTGAATGGGGTTTAAATTGTGTATTTTTAATTATTGCTTTTTAATGTTGTACATCTTCTGGAGTCATTGTGTATGTTGTTGAATGACTGAATGACTGACTGACTGAATGAATGAATGAATGAGTATCATTTGGTAAACTACTTTTTCAACTGTTTTTGACAACACCACATCAGTGACTCATACAGTATTTTTCAGAGGAAGGGAGGGAGTGGTCACATGTGGGTATTCTCAAAGCCTGATTGATCCAGAGACTGAGAGCAAACTCTTAAATACTGGTGCCTTCCAGTCCTAACCCAGTTTCCTCTCAGTCTACTTGGTCCAAGAACTGTTTGAGAATTATTCCATGGTAGAATTTCTATTTATTCCAATTTGGTCTCATTTGGTTTAATTGGGCATTTTAAAAAGGTTTTCTAAATTTCTAAATTCTGCAGCTGCGGCCCCAAGGGTCAGTTTCTGCTCCGGGCAGTTGGGGAGGGCCCCGTGGGGCATTCTGCC